CTTAGAGAACTTGAGTATGGGCATAGAGGAGAGACAGGAAGCCTCCCTGAGGAAAGCTGCAGAGTAGAGGCTTGATGGAGGCTGTTTTCCCTTTAGCAAGCTGCCCCCCAAAGGCCCACTATGAACCCTGCGCCTGCCTGGCATCCTGCCAGAATCCCAAGCCCAACTGCAAGCTCCTCTGCAAGCCCGGCTGTGTCTGCAATTCTGGCTTTTTGTTTAATGACTCCCACTGCATCAATGCATCTTCCTGCAACTGCTTCTACAACAATAATTACTATAAGGTAAGACTGCGAGGATGCCCAGATCAACCTGTGAGAGACTGCAAGCGGAACACCTGGATTCTGGTTCCACCTGCTCCCCGGGTGAGGTGAATTTGGATCCATGGGACAATTCCAAAGGGCCAGCTCACAAGCAGTGGTTACACAGTGGTGGAGTCATTTGTACAGAGTGTGGTTTTTGTTGTTGTTGTTTTTAATTGGGGAACAGTGTGTTTTTCCAGGACCCATCAGCTCCAAGTCAAGTAGTTGTTTCACTCTAAGTAGTTTTGGAGGGAGCAGCTCAGTGGCCCATGTGGGGATCGAACTGGCAATCTTGGTGTTATGAGCACTGCACTCCAACCAGCTGAGTTAACCGGCCACCCCCAGTGTGTGGTTTTGATTGTCATCTCTGTTCATGCAATAAATATTTGTTAAGCACCCACTATGACCGGGCCTGATGCTAGGCTGTGCAGAAGTTTTCATCATCCCGTGGCCCTGTGCTAAGTGCTCCTAACACTCTCGATATTTTTTTTACTTTTCTGTACCATACTGGTAACCTTGAGTAGACCAGTCAGGTGGTGCCGAGCCTTCATCTCCATTCTGAGGAAAGTTGGGAGTCCCTGGGTATACAGAGAGCCCTGGATGCTGCGTAGAGCTTCAGACATGTTCAGGGCAGAATACAGTATTCCAGAATCTTCTTCCAAAGGAACTTGCAAATCCTGATAGAATGGGTCAAAAGAGAGGAGTTACTGTTCTTGTCTTCCCTCACTGATGCCCTCCTGGGGAGATTCGACAAGAGCAGAGGCTCTGAAGGGGACAGGCTCCAGCACTGTTTAAAAGGGATAGCATACAAGCCATGCACCATTTTACATTTCCTAACAGCCACATTAAAAAAAAAAAAAAAGAAGGAAATAGGTTAAACTAATCCCAGTAATCCATTCAACCCCAAGTGTTCTCATTTCAACATGTAATCAATAGTTACTAATGAGATTATTTACATTCCTTTTTTATTTTCATACTAAGTTTTCAAAACCCAGTGCGTATTTCACACTTACAGCATATCTGAATTTGGACTGGCCACATTTCAAGAGCTAAGTGACCACATGTGGCTGCTGGCCTCTGTATTGGACAGAACTGCCCTAGAGTCAGGCCAATCTGAGCTTGAATCCTGGCTCCAGCACTTTCGCTATGTGACCTTGGGCAAGGTTCTTTACCGCCCCAAATCTGTTTCCATATCTATAAAATGTGCACAATAAGATTTTCTACCTCGTAAGATGGTTGTGAAGATGAAATTAGATCCTGACACAGACCAATTACTTAATAAATGTTAATTAGTGTTATTATTAGCAATTTATGATAACTATCATATGCAACCTATTAATTAACAGTGCATTAAGGTATTCATTAGTGCCTCTTCTCAGGTCTGGGTGTTCTTCCCTTTGGTTGTCAGAGTTCCTTCTTGTCTCTTCAGGGGCCACTTCCTCCCCACCTTACCCCCCTTAACCAGTCTCCTGGGTGAGTGTTAGGATTAGCTACAGCCGCAGCCTGGGTAGAAAGATCTGTCATAGCTGTCAGCCTCAAGCATCTCTTCCCTGCCCTGGGAGACATGTATTAACTTACTATATATTCACTTATGCTTTCAACAAATGAGTATTTTGAACCCTCCCAGCAATGGGGTCACTGTGAATAGGGCATGGTCCTTGTTCTCCTAATGCTGTTAGATTCTGAGGGACACATTGGGTCTTGGTTCACTCTTTCATTCAGCAAGTATTTACTGAATGAGAGCTCTCTGCTGGCCACTGTTCAATGTGTTGGGGCTAAGATAGTGAGTAAAGATAGACATGGTCCCTCACAGGGGCTTATAATCAAATAATCCCAAAAATAAATATAAAAGTGCAATTGTAGTAAGTCCTGGGAAGGAAAGGTACCCAGAAGTATGAAGATGACCTAGTCAGGGAGGTCTGGAAAGTCTTCCTGAGAAAGTTGTGTCCCTTGAACTGAAACTACTAGTTGCATAGGAAATGGAAGAGCCTTTCAGGATAAGAGAACATCATGCGCAAATGTCCTGTGGTGGGCAAGGATATCTGGTAGGGGGTGGGAAGAAGAGTATGAGCAAGGTTAGGTCTGCAGGTGTGGTGGAGGAGAAGGGGGTTATAGCATGGGATGACAGAATCCAACCAAGAGCTATAGTGTTGTGACCCCGATCCCTTGCTCTCAGCCCGGGGCAGAGTGGCTTAGCCTTAATTGCACAGAACGTTGCCGTTGCTGGTCTGGCAGTCGGATGGAGTGCCAGATGTCTCAGTGTGGGACACACACGGTATGCCAGCTGAAGAATGGTCAGTACAGATGTCACCCCTATGGTGAGACCCTCCCCACATGTTGTCCCCCCCTGCCAGCCTGTCAGAGTAGGTGTGACACCAGGGTCCCAATCCCTCCTTTGACAGAAGAGCTGGGACATGCCACTGGGTGGGTGAGGTTGCTGTGGGACCTGGCCTGGTGAACCAGCTTCACATGGTCCCCTTTTCTCCCCTCGCAGGCACTGCCACCTGCTTTGTCTATGGAGATCCTCACTATCTCACCTTTGATGGAAGGCACTTTAGCTTCATGGGCAAATGCACCTACATCTTGGCCCAACCCTGTGACAACTTGACAGGTAGGGTCCTGGAGATGCCCCTATGGCCTGGGCCTTGGGTCTGAAGTCAGAACAGCTGGGCATGGGAGCAGATGGGAAGGGCCAGTAAATTAAGGGTTGACATGTCCACCCCAGAAGCAGGACTTTCTTAGGATCAGACTACCAGCAAAAATGCACTTTAAGGGCCGGGCGAGTGGCTCAGTTGACTAAGAGCTCCCTCAAGAGTGCGAGGTCTGTGCAACAGTGGCTCGAGTCCCAGCCCAAGCTGAGCTGCCGCTGAGCTGCCAACAGGTGGCAGGATGGCTCAGCTAAAAACAAACAAACAAACAACAACAAAAAATGCACTTTAAGACACTTCTCTTTATCAGTTGCTTCCTTGGCCGGATTTTATTGAGAGGCCCATCTGGCATAGTGGCAATAAAGGGATGAGAGAAGTAACACAAGTGCCTGCCCTGAAGGATGTCCCAGTCCACTGAAGGGAGATGGATTGTCAGCGTACTGTGACAGACTGTTCTGGAAGAGGCAGACAGTCACACCCCATTCACATCTGGGTCCTGGCTGCCCTCTTGAACTGCAGAGCTGGTGTCTCTGTGGCCCTCTTGGCCTCACAGTTCCAGGTGTGGGCGCCCCCTTCAGTGGGCCCTCAGAAATGCTTGTTGAATGAGCCCCCGGGTGCTGTTCACTCCTCTCCCCACCCAGAGCCCTTCTTCAGGGTGGCAGTGAAGAATGAGGAGCGAGGACAGGAAGGCGTGTCTTGCCTGAGCAAAGTCTACGTGCGACTACCCAAGACCACCATCACCCTGCTCAGGGGCAGGCGCACGCTGGTGAGCCCCATTTTCTGCTTAACCCTGCTGGGGTTCAGCCTCTCCTGTAGGCTGCCTTGGCCTTGTCATGGCCAGCTCCTGCAGCCACCAGGCCCTCCCAGGGACAGGCTCCAGAGCACTCCAAGAGAAGAGGTCTTTAGGATTGCCCTCCAGGGTTGATATAGGAGTCTGCTGGGGGTATTCCTGACTCTCGGATCTGTCTGTCTCTTTTCTTGGCCCCACCTTCCAGGTTGGGGGTCAACAAGTCTCCCTCCCAGCCATACCTTCTAAAGGCATCTTCCTGGCTCTAAGTGGACGATTTGTGGAGCTGCAGACTGCATCCGGTTTGCGTGTGAGATGGGATGGTGACCAGCAGCTGTTTATGAGTGTGCCCAGGTAAGGGGGCAACCCAGTGAGGCAGCTACCACTTCTCCTGCTCTGTCCCTTCCTCTCCCAGGACCTTCCTTCCCCTCCTTCTTCCATTCCAGGTACTAATTCTCAGTCTGGGTAGGAAGCACCTAGCTCAACTAGCAGACCTTCCTTTGGATGAGGAGACAGGAGGAAATGGTTTCAGGGCAGTGTGATAATAGCAGGATATACACACAATGCTTTGGGAATGTGCTAGAAGAAGGCTGTGCTAGAAGAAAGCTTTCAGAAGAGTGGTCACTTGATCCCAGTCTTCAAGGAAGAGTGGCTTGCAGGGAAAGAAAGACTTTGTAGAAATAGTGAATACCAAATGCAAGAAAATACTGGAATGTCTTAGGGCAAGCAAGAGGTTTGTTATGGCTGGAAGATGGGGTGTGAGCAGGAGAAGAGGGGAGACTGTAAAGATGGCTTGGGGGTGAGGGCTGTGAGGTCTTTGTGTGCATGGCAACTGGTGTGGAACCCTTGTTTAGAGTTTGCACCTCTTACTCCCCCGCCCGACTCACTCACCCGCCCTCTGCTGTGGTCCCTCAGATGACTGAGGACCCTTGTTTCCTCCTCGCCCGGCCCCCACAGCACCTACTCTAGCAAACTCTGTGGTTTCTGTGGCAACTATGATGGTGACAGTAGCAATGACAACCAGAAGCCTGATGGCAGACCAGCACGCGATGAGGAAGAGCTGGGCAATAGCTGGCAGACCACAGAGGAAGAGGAAGAGGAAGAGGAAGAGGAGTGAGTCTGTCTCCACCTTCCCACTCCTTTGACCCTTCTAAGAACAAACACCCAGGCTGGTCTCACCTCTTTTCTCCTCTCTCCTCTTCTGCATGCCCTCGCTTATGTCCCAGCCAAGTTCATGAACTCATTTACCACCACACTCACCCCTACCATCAGTGGTCCTCATGCAATTCTGAAAAGCCCCCTTTCTTGCTTGTCCAGCCCAGGTTTTCCCACCTCCTTTAGGGTTTGGTGTTCAAATGTTCTCCACTAAGGGTTGCTGAGAGTGGGGAGACTGCTGGGGTAGGAGCCGGACGGAGACAAGTCTTGGCCTTTAGGGCATTTGGGGTGAGTCTCTTCTAGGTGCCAGAAGAACAAGATGAGCCCTCCATCTTGTGACTCAGCCTCGTGGAACACTCTGTCGGGGCCAGAATTCTGTGGAAGGCTCGTGGTCTCCCACGGAGCCTTTGGGTATGAGAGGGGCAGGATGGGTATAGGGGGGCACTTGGCATCTGGGGTCCTTCAAAGCGGGATGGGGGGACAGCCAGGAGGTTCTGCCCTCTCAGTCCTTCCAATCTGGCCTATCTCCACAGGGCATGCCTGCCTCATCTCATGGCCCCTGTCTTTTTCAACAACTGCATGTTTGACATGTGTAACTTCCAGGGGCTGCAGCGGATGCTGTGTGCCCATATGGCGGCCTTGACTGAGACCTGCCAGGATGCTGGCTATGTGGTGAAGCCCTGGAGAGGACCCCAGTTCTGTCGTGAGTTGGGCTGAGAAACAGGGGGACCCGTTCCTTCAGAAGCAGATGGGAGCAGAGGGCTGGCATCTAAGTGTGTTAGCACGGGCTTGGCAGCTCCTGGTTGAACCCCTTTGCTTCCACACACGGATGGGGAAATCTGCAGTCAGAAATATCCACCGAGAAAAATCACAGTCACTTGCAAACTCAGAAAGCCTTCCCAGCTGCCTGAGGCTACGCAGAGCAACACCTATTGGTGGTTGCCCTCCCGGTTGCCCTATACATACTTAAAGCAGACTCAGGTTTGGGAGGTTGCACCATGACTGCTGCACAGCTGCTGGTTATGGCCTAGCTCTCCGGGGAGCCTGCTTTAGGGCATGGCCAAGCCCTCGATTGAGGCCACTGACCTCTCCTGCCACCCTGACCTCTCACCTTAGGCATGTCTACACAGCAGCGCTAGTGAGGTTCTTGGATCAGTCTGCTCCCCTGGACCTGCCTCTTGCTAGCTCCCCGCAGGCTGCTTTTCCAGGCCCAGGGTGGAGGCGGAGCTCTTCAGTCATGCTTCTCCCACTCCCTCGCTTCTTCTCAACATGGGGCAGGAGCCTCTAGCTGCGGGCCTTCTGAACTCTGGGCTACGAACTAGCTACAGGCCTTCTTTCTCTTGTCTCCTGCCTGCCTCACACCCTTCTCACCTGTGATTTTCTCTCCACCAGCTCTGGCCTGCCCACCCAACAGCAAGTACACCATATGTGCCAAGCTGTGCCCCGATACCTGCCATTCCAGGTTCTCTGGCATGTCCTGCCAGGACCGATGCGTGGAGGGCTGCGAGTGCAACCCCAGCTTTGTTCTCAGTGGTCTCCAGTGCGTCCCCCTCTCCCAGTGTGGGTGCCTTGACCTCACAGGCAGCTACTTCATGGTGAGTCGCTAGGGCTGGCGCTCCTCTGAGATCTGAAGTCTGCCGATCTGAAGAGAGGAGGCCCAGGGAAAGCCAGGGTCCGTAGGCCTGGGGTTAGGGAAATTCTGGCTCAGATCACCTTTCCTGTCTTCTTTCTTAGTACTTTTCATGCAGATGGGGATGCAATCATAACAGTTACTGCCCACACTGCCTGGCAGCCTAAGACCCCTGCTTGTCTCCCCTGCCATCTTCCCTACCCTCATGTCCCTGAGCATTTTCTTACATCTGTGTCTCCCGTCATTCTTTCTAAACACCAGCTTCTCTCCTACCAAGGGCGCCTTTCTCTGCTAAAGGACTTTGTCTCCCTCCTTGGCCCCTGTCTTCACAGTCTTCTCAGAGACAGCATTTGGAGCCAGACCCTCGTCTGTAGCCCTTCTTACTTCCTTCTTTGCCTGTCCATCACCCACGTCCTGGGAATGGCCCCGATGTCCGTCAAAGCCCTCTACCACCTGAGGCCCACTTGGCTCAACTCCCCTCAGCCCCCATTCCAGACGCACTGAATGCTCTTTGTCTGTGCCTTGCTCTCCTTGTAATTTCACCTTCCTTGGAGCCCCTTTCATCCTGCTCTGCCTCCAGCCACCCAGCCATCCATGCCTGTTAGAATCCTTCACCACCTCTGAGGCCCTGTTGAAGTGCTGCCTCCTCCTTGAAGCCTTCCTGATAGGCAAAGTTAGGAAACATCCCTCTAAACTCTTACTATCTGTGTTGATGGCAGGAAACTCTCACTAGGTGCCCTGCTTGTCTTCTTTGGGTGTATATCATGTTGGAGCATATAATCTATCAGTTTACTTGTTTGCTGCCCCCATTGAGACCGTGAGTTCTCCTAGGGCAGGGACATCATCCATCTGGGTCGTTACTAAACCCCTAATGCCTGGCACAATACAGACATAAGCGTCTGTTGAAACAGTGAAGGAACAAACAAATGATGGAATAAGAGAGTGAATGCCAGACTTTGGGAAGACAGGAATGCCTCCCCAATGAGCAGGCTGGTGATCTGAATAACAGTGGGCATATAGTCAGACTTGGGAATAACCTCCTTTCCTTCCTTCTTTTTGTCTCCCAGGTAGGGCAGCAGTGGTTCAAACCAGGCTGCAGACAGCTCTGTATCTGTGAGGGCAACAACAAAATTCGCTGTGTGCTGTGGAGGTGCCAGGCGCAGGAGGTCTGTGGTTGGCAGGATGGCATCTATGGCTGCCATGCCCAGGGTGAGCAGTCAGGTGGAAGGTGAGCCAGGGGGCTGCCCATGTGGCCTCAAGCAAGAGCATGCCCTAAAGCAAGCTCCGCAGAGAGGTGGGGCGTAACCAGGGACTGGAAGGCAATTACCCAGAGCTGGAGCAGTGTCTTTAAGGACCCAGAGAGTGAGGTTGGGGCAGTTCCTGTCCTTGACCTCTCCAAGCCAAGCTGATCACTCGATGAGCCATGGGGAACACCCCAATATGGACTCACCAAGATGGCAGCTCAGGAGCAGTGTGCTCGTGAACTCCGTCTCCTCCTCCCCAGGGTCTGCCACCTGCACTGTCTCAGGGGACCCCCACTACCTGACGTTTGATGGAGCCCTGCACCACTTCATGGGCACCTGCAGCTACACCCTGACCCGGCCTTGCAGGTCGAGGTCCTTTGAGAACTACTTCGTCGTGAGTGCCACCAATGAGTTCCAAGGTGGGAACTTGGAGGTCTCCTATGTGAAAGCCGTCCATGTACAGGTCTTCAACCTCAAAATCTCGCTGATCAAAGGCCGCAAAGTCGTGGTGCGTGCCTCTGCCTACCTCCTGGGTCCTACACCACCAGCTGACTCTGCACCTCTGCTGTGCCCCTTTTTGCCCACAGGCCCGCCTATCTGGCTTCTAAAGCCCCCCGGGGATCACCCGCAACAAGCCCAGCCCCAGTTCCTGAAACATACCTGCCACCCCCCTTCTGCTCCCTGGTCCTGATCCTGCTCTTGTCCTTGTTCCAAACGCCTTTTCCAACCATGTCCTCCCTGCCTTTGTAGCTGAATGGTCGCCGGGTGGTCCTGCCTGTGTGGTCTGCACAAGGTCGGCTATGCATGAGACCCAGTGGTTCCTTTATCCTCCTCTACACGGATTTTGGGCTTCAAGTTCGCTATGATGGGAACCACTTGGCTGAAGTGACAGTGCCCTCCACCTACGCTGGCCGGCTCTGTGGGTTGTGCGGTGAGTTTCTTGGGCACCCGTCGGCAAAGCCGGGATAATGGGCAGTAGTCTGCCCTGGTCCTGCTCATACACACACCTAATTAGGTGCCCTACGTGCTTGTCCACTGGTTCATGGGTAAAGGGTGATGGGTGTGAGGGTGCGTTAAGGGGAGACCAAGGTGAAGAAAAAGAAAGGGTTAACCTTGGTCTGTGGAGTGAAGAGTGGGGGCACCTCTTGCGGGAAGGAAGGTAGTGGTCCTGGGGCTTGGTCTGCTAGCAGAGGACTGCTATGGCCTCTGTTAACTGCTCCCTCCTCCAGGGAACTACAACAACAACAGCTTAGATGACAATTTGAAACCAGATAAAAAGGCTGCAGGCAACTCCACCCAACTGGGGGTCGCTTGGAAGTCAAATGAATACTCTGAACCTGGGTGAGCCAGGAATGGGGGACACCAGGCATGGGGAGATGGCTCTGGGGAGGAGCCTCAATGGGTGTCCTCTGTGTGTCCCCAGTCTCTCTGAGGCTGGAGTTGATGAAAGGTTGTTCAGACCTCCCTTGCTCCTGCCTGCTGATTTCTTCCATGCTTACTGATCTGTCTCTTTGGAAAACCCTTTTGGCCAGTCTATCCTGAGTTCTAACTTTCTTCCTTCCTGCTGCATCTTCTGACCTTTCTACTTGAGGTCACCACTTTATTCTTTTCTCCTGTCCTTATTCACCTCCCTGTTTTTCTCTCCACTTTTGTTTCAGTTTTTGGTCCCTCCAACCCTAAATTCCTATCCCTTCCCCCTTTTTTTGTTCAGCTGTTTCGTTGCTGGTGGCAAGCCTCCCAGATGCCAGGGGAACGAAGTGCAAGACACCTGGAAAAACTGTGATATCTTAATGAACCCTCTGGGTATGCCTCATACCCTGCTGGCCCTTTTCTCCTCCCTCAGAACAGGAGACAGAGGAGGGGTACTCTAGTGGAGGGAGTAAGAATGAGACCCAAAATAGATGGAAAGTCAGGAGGAAGGCAGATAGACATGCAGAGGCAGTGTACACCTTCTTGGGAGCCTGACGGATCAGCCCTTTGTCGTGTCTCAGGCAGTAGGTTCTCAAGAAATACAGGTTTTGATGGAAATGGATGTCAAATTTGCCCCAAACAGCTGCCTGTTTCTGCTCCCTTCCCAGGCTTCCTCTCTTCTCTCACACCCCCATGGTTTCATCCTCCAGGACCCTTCTCCAAGTGCAATGGGGTGGTACCCCCGCATTCCAGCTTCGCCAGTTGTGTGCATGGCCAGTGTGGGACCAAGGGTGATGCCCTGACCCTGTGCCGCTCCCTGCAGGCCTACGCATCTCTGTGTGCTCGTGCCGGCCAGACCCCTCTCTGGAGGAATAGCACCTTCTGCTGTGAGTGACCTGACCATCCCTCCCGCAGCCTGGAAGAGTCCCCCTAAGCCCTGTCCTCCCCTCCTTTCCTTAAATTCTGTTCCTTGGCTCTTCCTTTCCCAGCCTGGCCCTCATACCCCATATAGGAAGGACCTCCTCCATTCTCACTCTCCAGTCTCTCCAAGCCCAGCCCCCATCCTTTACTTGTCTCCCTTTCCTGGGAGCCTCCTTCATCTGATTCTCACCTCACCAAAAAGTTCCACCTTCATTTGATTACTGCCTCTTTCCCCTCTTACCTAGGCCAGCTCTGTTCCCTTTCTTACTGTCTTTCCCAGGAACTGTTTTTAAAAAAAACTGTGGTAAAATATACATTACACAAAATTTCCCATTTTGAAGATTTTTAAGTGTCCAGTTCTATAGCATTAAGTACATTCATATAGTTGTGCAACCATCACCACCATTCATCTCCAGAACGTTTTCATTTTCCCAAACTAAAATTCTATATCCATTAAGCACTAACTCCTCACTCCCCCTACCCCAGCCCCAGGCACCCACCATTCTCCTCTCTGTCTCTATGAATGTGACTACTCTAGGGATCTCATGTAAGTGAAATCAGACAGTATTTGTCTTTTTGTGATTAGCTTGTTTCACTTAGCATAATGTCTTCAAGTTTCATCCATGTTGTAGTGTGTGCCAGAATTTCCTTCTTTTTAAGACTGAATCATATTCCATTGTAATGATGAACCCCATTTTGTTTATCCATTCATCCGATGGGCATTCCCAGGACTTCCTGATGTCCCAAGGTCAGGGAGCTGAAAATCACTCAGCCCTTCCTAACACTGGTTCCTTCTTAGCTCTGAAGTGCCCATCCGGCAGCAGCTACAACCCCTGTGCCAACCCCTGCCCAGCCACCTGCCTCAGCCTAAACACCCCACGAGACTGCCCGGCAGCACTGCCCTGTACCGAAGGTTGTGAGTGCCAGAAAGGCCACGTCCTGAGTGGAACCTCCTGTGTGCCCCTCAGCCAATGCGGCTGTACCGATCCAGGGGGCTCCTACTACCCGGTGAGAGGCCAGACTGCAAGGCGTGCCCTGCCCTTCCCAGCTCTATGAGTTTGGGAATGGGAGGGCTCAGAGCCTGAGAAGGGGTGGGGTGGGCCAGTGCTGGGGGCTGAGGAGCAAAGCCAAAAGCCAAAAGGCTGAAAGAAGGTGGTGATGGAGGTGATTATTGAATGAAGCGAGCCTCATGGGGGGATCAGGGTTGGGGGGAAGCCCAGTCTATCTTTAACTTCAAGTTTCTGTTGCATGCCCACACCCCAAAGGTCGGGGAGAGCTGGTACACGGACAACACCTGCTCCAGGATCTGCACCTGTTCCACTTACAACAACATCTCCTGCTTCCAAACCTCCTGCAAGCCTAACCAGATGTGCTGGCCCCTGGATGGGCTGATACGCTGCCGGGCTGCGGGTAGGAGGCCACTGAGTGTGGAGGAAGACCCCACAGACACCAACATGCACTCTCCACAATTCCCTCTCACTTCCATCTGTAGTACTCGGGTTCATGGCCCTGCTGTACCAAAGAGCTTCTGGCGGGGAAAGATGACCACTGAACTGTCTGTCGGGAAGGACTCCTTGGGTCACTCATGGTTTTTCTGTGGTGGCCGTAAACTACATAGATGGGATATTAAAAGTCTCTCCCTGGCAGAATAATACCTGCTATATCCCCAAGCCTCATGCTGGCCTGGCCCTTTTGCCTTGATTCTTTTCTTTTAGTCTTCCTTCCCTTTGGAAGCCCCCTCATCTTCACACACTTTCCTTGAAGGTGGGGAGAACACCTGTTCTTGCTGGAGGCGGGGCACTCCTCAGGCACCTCTGTTTCCTGCAGGTATGGGAGTGTGCCGGGTCTCAGACAACTCTCACTATGTGAGCTTTGATGGCAGTCAACATGCCATCAGGAGCACCTGCACTTACGTCCTGGTGAAAACGTGCCACTCCACCATGGACTTGCCTTTCTTCAAGATCAGTGGCAAGAATGGGAAAAGGGAAGGCCAAACCCCCACTTTCTACCTCCACCAGGTCAACATTGACATCTTTGATTCCCTGGTCACCCTGAAAAAGGGCCATCATGTGATGGTGAGCTGGGCAGCATGGACAGGGATAAAGGAAGAGAGCTCTGGGGACAGGGCTCTGGTCCTTCTTCCTACTCATGTGCTCTGTCCTCCTCTGTAGATCAATGGCAAGCAGGTCACCCTTCCCTCGACTAATCAGATCAGAGGTGTCAGCATCTCTGCCAGTGGGGTCTACACCATGCTCAACATTCACATTGGGCTGCAAGTCAAGTTTGACAGCAATGGGTTCTTAGAGATCGAACTCCCTAGAGCCTATTATGGAAAGGTGAGGAAAGCACCTGGCTCTTCTCCTAGGGGTGGGACCCTAGACCCAAGAGGTCGCCCTAGAACAGGAGAGTGATGCAAAGTGTGCCTTTCTCTCTAGAGTGGAAAGGAGGATGCCAATGAGAAGTGCTCTCCTGCCTCACCCCCACCCCTGACCCTTCACCCCCCACCCTATGCTAAGTCTCCCCTCTGCCCAACCAGGTCTGTGGCATATGTGGGAACTTCAATGGTGAGGAAGAGGATGAACTAAAAATGCCCAGCGATGAACTAGCCCAGAATGACATTGAATTTGTGAACAATTGGCAAGATAAGGAGGCCGACCCAAAGTAATTGTCCCCAAAGACTCTACCTTTTCATAATAACTTGAGTTGGGATTCTAGACTATGTGGCACACCTGGGGTAGGGAGATCAGAGCACTCTGTTATCCTTTACATGTGTAACTTGACTGGGGATGGCTTCTGGGTTCTGGGAACCTATTTGGGGAAACATGGAAGTCTTCCTTTCTTGGCTCTGAAATGTGGAAGGGGACTGAGGCTGCATGGAAGGTGGCCAGAGCTCAGGCCAGCTTCCCAGTGAAGACAAAAGGCATCTTTGGGGTCATTTGGGAGTGCTAAATCTTTTTTTTTTTTTTAAGATTTTATTGGGGAATTGGGGGAGAGGAACAGCGTTGGGGAACCCAGGAAGGGGAACAGACAAGTTTTGTTCTTCAGTCTAGTTGTGGAGGACGTTGTTTCACTGGCCCATGTTGGTATTATCATTGCATTCTTCCCAGGTGTGGCAGTTGCACGCCGGCCATTGGAAGGCCATTCATGGCGGCTCATGGCAGCTCACGAAAGCGCATGCCAGCTGCTGGCCAGCCCCACTGCAGCCTACGCCGTTGCTGGCAACTCACGGCAGCCCAGCTCCAGGTCGAACTGTTGTTCACCATCTTAGCTGTAGAGGGTGCAGCGTCACTGGCCCTCATGTGGGATCCGAACCGGGGCCCTGCTGCTCAGAGCTGGCGTCCCAAGCCAACTCTTAGCCAATGCACCACTTGGCTGGCCCCCAAATCATTTTCATAAGTGGGGCAGTGGCAGTCTCTATGATGATTCCTTTCCCTTCCCAGTTGCCAACAAGATGACCAAAAAGATGACCAAATGAAGACCAAAGCAGAACAGCAGGAGAAGACGGATGCAAACTGCAGGCCAGCTGACCTAGTGAGAGCCCAGGAGCAATGCCAAGTGGCCTTTCAGGCCCTGGCCTGGGCTAAGTGTGCTACTCGCGTGGCCCTTAAGCCCTTCCTGTTCGACTGTGCACATAATCTCTGTGAGTCTGGAGGCCTAAACCGTACCCTCTGTGAGTCTCTGCAAGCCTTTGGAGCCGCCTGCCAGGCCCAGGGGCTTAAGCCCCCAGTCTGGAGAAACAGCAGTTTCTGTTGTGAGTGTCCCACATGGTACCTCAAATAGTTCCCAAACCCTGTTTCTGTCTGTGGATCCCTTAAAGCTGCCCTGTTCTCCTATCCTCTTGCGACCTATGTCTGACCTCGCTGTCTCTGACATGCACCGTTTACAATAGCTTCTCAGCCAATGCCCCTGCCACCAGGACATCACAGGCTGCTGCTCATCTGCTTCTTCACCAACACCGTCTTTCCAAAGGACATGTGATTATGTTACTCCGCTGTATGGCTATTGCCTGAAAGATTAAGTCCAAACTGTTGTCTGAGATCTATGATATCCTGCTCACTGTCCCAGCCTTTCTTCTCACCCCTCTCCTGTGCACCTGCCATCATCTGCACAAAAGGACCCCATTCCCCATGCAGGCCTTGCTTTTCCACACCTTTTGCTGCTTCTGTGCACACTGCTCTCTGTACCTGGAAAGTTCTTCTGTTCTGGCAGACTTCTAGGCATCCTTCTTTAGCTCTTTCCTTTAAGTTTTTAAAAACATTTGTTAGTCACATACCATAATACTCACCCTTTTAAAAGTACAATTAAGCCTGACAATTAAGTTCACGAACTCATCCTACAAAAAGTGCTACACACCTCATTGCTGAATATCACTATGATCACCTTCGAAATACTCCCCTTGGGAAGCTATGCACCGATACCAGCACCTAGTCCACCCTTCAAAGCAATTTTGGAACTCTTTTTCTGGAATGGCCATCAGACCTGTCATCGTATTGCCCTTGATGTTGTCCAAAATGTCTTCGTTTCAATATTTCCTTTAGCTTTGGGTAAAGAAAGAAGTCACTGGGGGCCAGATCAGGTGAGTAGGGAGGGTGTTCCAATACAGTTATTTGTTTACTGGTTAAAAACTCCCTCACAGACAGTGCCAAGTAAGCTGGTGCATTGTCATAATGCAAGAACCATGAATTGTTGGGGAGGGGAACAGTGTTGGGAAGGGGAACAATGTTGGGGAATTCGGGAAGGGGAACATTGTGTTTTTCTAGGACCCATCAGCTCCAAGTAAAGTTGTCCTTCATTCTTAGTTGTGGAGGGTGCACGCTCAGCTCTAAGTCAAGTCACTGCTTTCAATCTAGTTGCGGGAGTGGGGTGTGTGTGTGGGGGGGTTGTAGTTCACCGTCCCATGTGGGAGTTGAACCAGCAACCTTGTTGCACACTGAGTCATCCAGCCAGCCGGCCACTGCTGCTCAGCTCAAGGTGCCGTATTCAATCTTAGTGCTGCTAAGAGCATGCGCTCTCACCAGCTCAGTGGCAGGTCAGCTTGGGCGCAGCTCACTGGCTCATGTGGGAATCGAACTGGCGGCCCTGTTGCTCGCGCTCTTAACCAACTGAGCCACTTGACTGGCCCCAGGTCGTCTTTTTCATGCAGCCTTTTCAGCACTTCCAAATAGCAAACTTGGTTAACTGTTTGTCCAGTTGGTATAAATTCATGGTACAAATTCTGATATCAAAAAAATGGTAGCAACATCGTTGCAACAAGTTCACAACTTTATTGTCAGGCCGTGTATGTGTGTATGTGTGTGTGTGTGTGTGTGTGTGTGTGTGTGTGTGTGTGTGTGTGTGTTCATGCATGGCAAGAAAAGAGTCAAAGATGAAAAAAGAACTAGAAAATTTTTTGTAACTCATAGCAGTAATAAAGAACTACTCTCTTTAATAGATAAAGAACTTCTATAAAATATTTTGAAAAGACCAGCAACCCAGTGGAAGCATGGTGACTGTGTATGAACAGACGTTTCACAGAAAGGGAAATTAAATGGCTTCAAACGTATGAAAGAATGTACAACCTCACTCATAATAGGGAAATGCAAATTAAGATTCTTTTTATTTGTCCCTTATCATATTGACAAAAATCCAAAAGTAAAAGTGTTAGCAAGGCAATGGGGAAATGAACACTCTCATTTATTGTTGGTGGGAATGTAAATTCCTCACCCTCTATGGCAACATCTCTCAAAAGTACAAATGCACACAGTCCTTGACTCAACAATTCAACTTCTAGGAATTTATCCTACAAATAGTGACACACACACAGAAAATCATAAGTGCATATGGTTATCCACTGCAGCAGTGTTTGCAATAACAAAAGATTGGAAACAACTGAAAAGACCATCAATAGGAGACTAGTTAAATAAACTTTGATAAAAGAATTATGATATAATAATGGAATATTACACAGACACAAAAGAGAATGAGACATGGTTTTCTGACATGGAAGAGAATATCTGATGTGGAAGGATCTCTAAGCTAGAGTGTCAAGTGAAAAAAAATAAAGTGCAAAACACTGTGTCTCAAATGCTGTTTGTAAGAAAATAAGGAAAGTAAATTTGTATTTGCTTGTATGTGCACAAATAAAAGACCTCTGGAAAATACTCATGTGCTCATAAGAGCAGGCTTGGAACTGGGCCCATGGGGTCAGGGTAGGAGGGAGACTTTTCACTGGGATTCTTTTAATACTTTGAAAGTTTCTGAACCATTCCAAAAGGTTCTGGAATTAGATAGTGGTGATGGTTGCAGAATTTTGTGAAGACCCCAAAAACCAGTGAATTGTATATGAGGTCTGGCAATTAAGTTCACAAATTTGCCACCGTGCGCTTACATTGGTAGCACTGTACAAGCAACTCGGTAAGGTTTCATAACTTTGGTATATCAGTGTCTCACAGCTGTGCTCGTGTTGACGTGTGGCGGTATCTTGCTGAGTGGCGTTCATTATTGTTGTTGCGTGTTTTTGTGTGCCGTCGCGAGAATGTCTGAGCTTGAGTTAAAGCAATGAACAAACATTAAATTTCTTGTTAAACTTGGCAAGAGTGGAAGTGAAATCAGGGACGTGTTAGTCCAAGTTTATGGGGATAATGCCATGAAGAAAACGGCAGTGTACAAATGGATTAAACGTTTTTCTGAGGGGAGAGAACGCGTCACTGATGAAGAGAGGTCAGGGCGGCCAGTAACGAATAGAACTGACGAAAACATAGCAAAAATTCGTCAAGTTGTATGTCAAAATCATTGGCTGACTGTGAGAAGCATAGCAGACCAAGTAAACATCGATAAAGAAACAGTTAGGAAAATTTTAATTCAAAATCTTGGCATGAGAAAGGTGTGTGCAAAAATGGTCCCGATGGAGCTCTTGCAACACAATGTACCAGCTCACACAGCTTCTTTTTTATTCAAAGATGAAGGAAATTTTGAAATGAAGACATTTTGATGACATTCAGGACATCAAGGGTAATAAGACGACAGCTCTGATGGCCATTCCAGATAAAAAGTTTCAAAATTGCTTCAAAGGGTGGATTAGGCGCTGGCGTTGGTTCCTAGTTTCCCAAGGGGAGTATTTGGAAAGTGACCATAGTGATATTCAGCAATGAGGTGTAGTACTTTTTCTAGGATGAGTTCGTGAACTTAATTGTCAGACCTTCGTGTGTGTGTGTGTGTGTGTGTGTGTGTGTGTGTGTGTGTGTGTGTGTGTGTATGTGTGTGTGTGTGTGTGTATGTGTGTGTGTGTTCGAATATGTTAGTCTTTATTTTATGTCTTCTGTATTATATGAGTTATATTTACAAATGCCTTCCCCACTCTGAAGTTAAAAAAGAATTTTCCCATGTTTTGCTCTAGTAATTTTAATGGTTTTATTATTTTTTATATTTAAATGTTTTATTTATCCTGGTGTGTACTATGAGATATGAATCAATTTTTTTCCCCTGGCATTATTAAATGACTAGTCTCTCTTTTCACACTGACTAAAATGCCACAATTTATCTTATATTAAATTCCCACATGGATTTGGGTCCCTATCTGGGCCTTTTCTCTCCTTCCATTGTTCCATCTCTCTCCACTTACTAGTAACACAATGTTGTGATCGTTGAGAGTTTAAAATGTATTTTAATTTCTGACAGTCACTACCCACTGTTTGTTTGGTTTTTTTTAGAGTTTTCCTGGCTTTTCTGATTTGTTTATATCTTCATCTCCACTTTAATATCATCGTGCCTTATTAAAAACAAAACAAAATCCTTTTGGTGTATTTTATGTGATCATATTAAATGTATACATTAACTTACGGAGAACTGACATTTTTATGTTTCGGACTCTTCTATCCTTGTACTGCTGCCGCTTCACAGGACCGCCCTGTGGTTCTGGTGGCCAGGCTGGCCACAGTCCTCCTGAGGCTGTCCCTGCACAGTCCCTACGCTGTGTGACTTCCCGCACATGGTGGATGCCATTTTTATTTGTTGACAACTATTTTTGCCTAAAGACCTTTATTTAGCTCCTCCAAAAGTGAGTAGCTCCCTCCTCTGTGTTCTTGTTATATCTCGTATGTACAAGCATATCACACATTTACTGAGCAAATACATCAAGGTCATGCGGCGGCTGTTGGCTGAACTTTGTCTCCCATGCTGAACTGGGAGAGCCATTCTTCTTCCTCGGGGCCTGGCCCACACTCATTAAGTCTTTACCCCCACCCCCTTCCCTCCCTACTTCTAGAATGCCCCACCCACAGCACCTACATGACCTGTGTTCCACCCTGCTCACCCTCCTGCTGGGACCTGCAAGGTCAGTGCAAGGACGCCAAAGTGCTCTCCACCCTGAGGAGGGCTGCATTTGTCAGCCTGGCTACTATGAGCTCAGTGAACAACAATGTGTTCTCAGGACTCAGTGTGGCTGTAGGGACGCCCAGGGAGGCTCCCTCCCCGTAAGTGAGGGCAGAAGTAGGGTGGGGACAGCACACCTTGAGGATGGCATTTTCTCTTTTCCTCAGCCTCTATCTGCCTGGGGCACCCAGATGGCTGGCCTTGCCTGGGGTGTGAAGGCTGGTGACAAGGCAGGGTGGTCTCCAGCCAGGCCTGGGCTGGGGGTGCATGGTTTGGATTTGGATCCGAGGAATCCAAATACCTGAGATGTGGCACAATATAGTGGAGGAGCACAGCCTTGGTTTGAATCCTGATGGTACCACTCAGCAAACCTGTTGCCTCAGTTTCCTTATCTGTAAGATGGGTCCAGCAGTACCTCTTGAACAACATATATAAGACACCAAACACAATGTTTTAGAGGGCAGTACCAAGACACAATAACATGGATGGCACCAGAACTGCCTCTGGCCTATGTCAGTTAAGCCATTCAGACAGCTGGCTTGGGCTGAAGGGGTGAGGACAACCGGCCCTTCCTGCCACATTCCCTTGTTCTTCCTGTGGCTTCCACAGACAGAGAAGACCTGGCTCTCCAGTGGCTGCACCCAGAGCTGCATAGCAGGAGCCATTCGGCACTGACCCTTCATCTGCCCCTCTGGCTCCCACTGCCAGCTCAACTCCAATGGCAATGGCAGGCGCAACCCTGACAGTAAGGGAGGCTTCTGAGGAGGTGGAGAGAGACCAGAGGGGCCGAGGCAGCGAAGCTTTGGAGAGAGAAGGGGCCAAGCTCAGGCATGGAGTGAGCCTGGGTTCTCATTCTGACTCTCCCCTGTTCTGTGGCCACCTGCAAGTCATGGCCCTCCCTGGAATTCACTCCTTTAAGGGCAAAAAGAAGGCACCGGACAAGAAAACCCTGTCCAGTTTTCAATGGGTCTAGGAGAGGGGAAAGTTGCAGTTCAAGTATCAAGGGAGCTCAGGGCTAACAGGGAGGGTGACAGGAGACATCAGTGCAAGTAAGGGATTCTGGGGGCTGTTATATGTGGGCAGAGTGCCTTTTCAGCATTGGCCCTTCTTGGCCGATTTGGAACAATGCTCAATTTTTGGGGACCCCCATTACTGCACATTTGATGGCGTCAGCTACAGCTTCCAGGGCTGTATGACCTACACTCTGATTAAGACTGTGAACATGCTCTCCGATGGCGTAGTGCCCCCATGGTCATGGAGGGACACAACAAGATGTATATGCCCTTCAACCTGATCTTCCTGCACAAAATCATCGTGATGGATTATGGCTATACAGTCTAGCTCTAGGCTGAACTGCAGCTTGTGGTAAGAGACAGGCCACCTGAAGCAAGTAAAGCCAGGACTCGGTGTTTCCTGGGAAGTCCCTGGCAATGGCTGCCTGGTTATAGAAGTCAGTCAGTCATTTGCCTCATGGGGAAAGGCAGCAGAGGGCACGGGATTAAGCAAAAGGCTGGAGAGAGACGGAACAGGAGAGAAGGACAGATCCTGCAGTGTGAAGGTGGAACCAGCTGAGGAAGTACGAGGGACATCCACCCTACCAATGGTTTTGCAAGGAATGGGCTGGGGCTGCAAAGGCAACAGACCTCAGAGAGGCTCTTGCCATCAGAGAGTGAGACCTACTCGTTCCACAGAATGATGGCACAGAGAGGCATCAAGATGTGCAGAGAGACGCAGAGCCAAAGTGGCAGAGGGTCAAGTTGCTACAGGACTCCCTGCGGCTCTTGTCTTCATTTTCCAGGTCAACAAGAAGAAGACGGCCATCCCCTACAACTCCAAGCACCTGTGGGTTACCATGCAGGACCGCTGGCTGTATTTGGTCACTGACTTTGATCTGGTCATCAGCTTTAATGAAAAGAACAATGCAGGTGCCTGAGGTTAGGGACAGGTGAGCAGAAGGGGCATTTCTGGGATGGTGGAAGAAAACCCTATACCAAGCCTGGTGAGAGGACCCCTGCCTGGGAGTAGGGTCCCAACCGCCAGCGGAGGTCCCAGGAGAGGTGGGCAATCGAGGAGGTGGGGAGTCTAGTTCTGGATGCCCCCTTTCTCCTGCAGTGATCTCCTTGCCTAGCATGTACCAGGAGCTTGGGAATGGCCTGTGCGGGAATTTTGACAAGAACTGGAAGTTTATGCTGCCCAGTGGCGCCCTCACTCAGAACCTCAACAATTTCAGCAACAGTTGGAAATTTAAGATGAAGGGAGGCCTCGCCCACTTCTCAAGGTGAGAAAGCTGGGGCTCAGAGCAGGAAGTCCTAGGGCCCAGGGCCATGAGCAATAGCCCAGTATCTGTCCACACCCGCTCAACCCCATATCCTCAGCAAAGGAGGAAACCCGCGGGTGAACACCCAGACACACTTGCCTGATTCTCCTAATCCTGTGGGGGCACCTACCTTCTGGATCGCGGTCTGTGCTTGCTCTGCCCTCCCCTTATACTCCCTCTCAGTTCTTCCTAAATTCACCGTCTTCGTGGGTCTCCCCTGGCCCTTGGCTGTCTTTGCCCCAGGGCCATCCAAGAGGAGAAGGAAGGAGAAGAGTCAGGCTTCAATGTGTCAGAATGCCGCCTGGAGCAGCTGGAGTTCCTCAACAGCACCCAGGCGTTTCGGGTGCTGGTGGACCTCCAGGGCCCCTTTGCTGCCTGTCACCAGACTGGCTCCAGAGCCCTTCCAGAAGTGAGTTGGGGGCCCGGGACACCGGGAATTGCCTTTCTCTTGATCCTTCCACCCATTTCTGACTTACGTTGTTTGGCCCACTTCTCTCTCTGTGACCTCGGTTCCTTGTGACACCTCTCCCCCCACCACACCCCACCCCCACACACACTGCCTGATGTCCTTCTGCTGGGGCTTCCGGCCCTTTTCTGCAGGGCTAGGTGTCTTTGCTTCTTCCTCCCGTCTCTGACAGCCCCCACTGCCCCCACTGCTTCCCCAGGCACTGTATGTTTGATATGTGTGTCACTTGGGACCCTAAAGAGCAGGAAGAGCTGCGCTGCCAGGTCCTCAGTGGGTATGCCATCATCTGCCAGGAGGCAGGCATTTCCTTGGCCAGCTGGCAGGACCACACCCACTGTGGTAAGGCACTGACCTTCCCCCACAGCTGGCCCTTGACCCCCTCAGCCATATCTACCTCTGCTCAGCTCTGTGCCACCACCATTGCCCCACATGGCGCTTCCTGTCTGGGTTCCCCATCCCTCTATTCTCACCATGTCAGCATCCTTCTAACCTAAGCCCTCTCTGCCTCCGTCCCTCATCTCCATCCCATCGCCCCATCCCACTCCTTCTCACCAATGCCCATCTTTTGTCCTCTAGTTCCTTCATGTGCTTTAACGTCACCAAGAGACACTCAGAGCCAGTCTACTGTCTGGCTTCCCTGCCTATACTGAGCTGTGTTCTGTGGGCGACTTTGTTCCCCCTCTAGCCCCACATCTGTTAGACCGGCCCCACCCCAGCCACCCTCTGACTGTGACTCCGTGCCCTCAGCCTTGGCCTGTCCAGCCAATACTGTCTATTGGAGTTGTATAACACCCTGCCCCACCTCCTGTGCCAACCTGGCAACCCCTGAGAACTGCGAGGGCCCCTGTGTGGAAGGCTGTGCTAGCCTCCCAAGCTACATCTAACAGTGGTGCCCAGAGCCTTCCCCTGGCCCTCTGTGGCTGCACCAACAATAACATCTACTCCCAGGTCAGAGGGGAGTGGGAGGCCCTGGGGAACAGAGGTGCAGAGGGAGAGCCAGCTAAGGGAGGAAAACCAGACTTTCTCCTCCTGGTCCTTTCTTCCCTCTCCAGCAGGGTGACAGCTTGGTGATGGAGGGTTCCTCTCAGCACTGCACCTGTGCCAGCTCAGAAGTCCTGCTGTGTTAGCCCTTCAGCTGCAGTGCTGGGGAAACCTGCACCTTGGGGAACCTCACTCGTGGCTGTTTCCGAGTTGAGTCAAGACCATCTCTTGGCTTTAAGCTGCCTCCATACCTCGAAGCCCTGGACCAAGGACTGTCCCTCCCAGTTCTATGCCTGGGACTTCTCCACATTGATGTCAGAAAGGTTGTGCCATTTAATCCCACTCATTCTCACTCAGTCCCTTCCTTTTTCAGGGGGATGGGGAGTGAGCAAAGGGTAAGGATCTGATGTGTCCTGAGCATCTGCTGTCTGCTGCGCATTGTGCTGGAGCCTTCTCTAATCATCAGCTTCCATGTTCTCCTTTAGTCCTTACTCAGCAATTGGTAGCAAGTATAGTCTCCCCATTTTATAAGAAATGGAGTTTAGAGAGGGTAAACAATTTCCCCAGAGCCCAGGGCTGGTGAGTACAGAGCCAGGAATGGGAGCTGCTGCTTTATTCCATGGGGTCCTACTCCCCTCTCCCTGACTGTGGGTGTCCTTCCAGAACCCACTCCCCACAACCCCCTCCATCCTGTAGAAAGCCCATGTCTATGGAACCCCTGTCAGAATGACGGGTGATGTCAGGAGCAGGGCACCCACTTCACCTGTGAGTGTGGACTTGGTTATAGGGGAGATGTCTGCACAGAGCCTGAGGATGTGCCACCTCCCGAAAAGCCAGGTAAGAACTTCATCCCAGGCCGTGTAGCCTCATAGCCCTTTCCCCACCAACAACTGCCACAGCATTATTCCATGTATATAATGTAAACATCTAATAGATATCTGTTATAGGTATATAACAGATAGGTAATATAGTATTAATGTAATCTATATTATAGAAAATATAATAATATATAATATTATAATACAATCCCTACAGATTAGCAGGACAAGGGTCTTCAAATACTTGGAATCCCTGTGCCCATCACCTACCCATATCTTGAATCTTCCCTCTGAACCCTAGCTCTCTTCTGAAGTGTATATGCCTCACCCCCACTGTTATTTCCCCTCTTGTATCACTCTAGGCCTCTCCAGGACCTTTTAGTGTTTTTCCCCATCCAAAACTACAATTCCCCTGAGACTCTGGGCCTGTGGTTCTCCAATTTTATCTTACCTAAGATTGGGAAGGGGCGGGTGGTTTGTTTGATACTTTCATTCTGTGTCTCACCCCCAGAGATTCGGATTTGGTAGGTCTGGAGTAGGCCCAGAAATCTGCATTTTTAACAAGCTCTCAAGTGACTGATGGAAATGATCTAGGGCACCTCTCTGAGAAGCACTGGCCATGATGATGCCCTGGACTCTAGGGGACCAACTGGATAAACATCCCCCTAAAAGACTTATGGGAGTTGTGTGCCCAGAAATAGAAAGGGTTCCTGGGGGGTGGCACTAAGGCCTTGGAGCCCAGGGTGAGGGGGGGTGACAGCCTCCTGGAGGGAGAACCAACCACAATCAGAGATTTAGGAGGATGCAGTCCCCTCAGGGTGGCAACTGAAGACCAAAGGGAGTGTCTCCTCCCCCACCCCCTTCCTATCCCATCCTGGAAATACCCAACTTTGTGGCCATCTTGTTGGGAATGCTGGTGCCTGGGGTGGTCATAGTGCTGGCAGTGACCAGAGAATATGTTTCCAGGAAGAGGAGGAGGTGAGTTCTGGCAGAGGGAATGAGGATGGGCAGCTGGGGGTGAGTGAACACGGGGAGTGGGTCCTGGCCCTCTCTGTTCCCCACTTTCCCTAGGGAGAAAATGCAGAGCCAGAACAGAGACAGGCTGGCAGGCACAGGTAAGAACCAACTCCACTGGTGCTCACTTCGGCAGCACATATACTAAAATTGGAACGATATAGAGAAGATTAGCATGGCCCCTGCGCAAGGATGACACACAAATTCGTGAAGCATTCCATATTTTTAAAACTGGAAATGGAACTACTGTATGACCCAGCAATTCCACTCCTGGGTATCTATCCAGAGAAACCCAAGATGCTAATTTGAAAAAATATATGTACCCCTATGTTTATTGCAGCGCTATTCACAATAGCCAAGACTTGGAAACAACTGAAATGCCCATCGGTAGACGACTGGATTAAGAAACTGTGGTACATTTATACAATGGAG